CCCCACCCCCAGAGTGTACCAAGTCCCAGAGTCATCCAAGTCCAGTCCAGGGCAATAGCTGCACAAAACCTGACCTCAAGCCGCCTACAGCCAGCTTCTTTCGTTCGTTTCTCTTTTTTGCGCTACTCGGCTTCCTTGCCGCAATACCTGATAGTGCTCGCCTGTGCCTTGTGAGCCAGCCGTTGTCGCCGGCCTTCCATCATCCCGCTGCAAGCTGCTTGTGCTCTACGACGCTGCAGCTGGCCGACTGCACCATCTTGACGACCGCTTGCACCGCCGCCGCATATTGTATCACGAACGGCTTCAACATCCTCCTGCTGCAAGTATCACAGCGCAGCATCTTGTCTCACTCCATTGACCTGCGCTTTGCCCGTCCTGCGCCCTGCCTTCAATTTCCTCTCCTCCGCGGCTTTATCCCCAGCTTTATCCATGAATCTTGGGCCCTTGCCATCCTTTTTTACATGTCCGATTTTGGCCGCCATCCAAGCGTGAACTTGTCCTCGTCGCCCTTCGTCTTCTTCTAGCCACCACAAGCTTTAACAGTCACCTCCACAGTCGGATTTAATTTTTTCACTCCTCGTCTTCCACCCTGGCCTCGGGAGGTCTCAAGTCAAGAATCAAAAAGTTTCTGGGGAAAAGCAAGAGTTAGTATTGGGTGGTACCAAGAGGAAAACAATACTCCAAAAAGAAAGTTGCCGGAGGAGATATCTGGCGCGATCATCTCTATCACTTCGTAAGTTGCCTACTTAACTCTGGTGAAGGTCTAGACTGGCCACTCCGGCTCAGAACCAAGAAATTTCCATCAATGGTGTTGTCCTGGGCCGACCTGCTCCAGTCTACGATCTTCACCAAGATTCCATCGCGATCCATTCGCTGCTTGCGCACTTGATCCAAACTTCCCTTGGCTGAGCTTGCTACTGACTGCTATGGCAGGTCTTCTTGGCCTCTGATCCGGCCCTCCACCTAGAGACAACCCCTTCTCGTCTCCATGCCACTTGTAGGCCGTGTTTACGACTCGGGCTTCCCTGTTGACAAGCCGAATAATCGCATCACTGATCTCGCACGGGTCGCCCTAGATTTAAGTTGGGCCACCGAACGGTCAGAGACAGGAAGGTCAGCTTCCCGGCCTTCGCCGTATCCATCTCCGCCCATGTCAGGCTCCCCTCACGCTTTGCACAAGGCGACCTCAGAAGCGAGCGACCTCGCCCTCATACCAAGCAACTACTCATCAGCGGTTCCTCAAGATGCATACGGGGGGTACTCGACCCAATCATCTCCGACAGACTCACGATCCTCGCAAGGTTATCCCGGCGTTCCGGATCTTTATTCTCGATCATACCCCTCTGACGCCTTGGAAAGAATGAATTACGGCTACCAGCACCCCAGCGATCGCTCGAATCGACCACCTTCCTACCACCCTCAGGGCCAGAGTCTGCCAAGCATTTCGCAAGGCGCTCCCCAGACTCTCCCATTCCCCCAACCCAGCGCAAGCCCTCAGCTCATCGGCAGCCGTCCCTCGACTGTTGAAAGCCAGCCTGGAGCCTCCCCAAAGTCGCAGAGGAAAGCAAAGGGACATGTCGCTTCTGCGTGCGTCCCTTGCAAGAAAGCTCATCTTCGGTTAGTAATTACACCGCCAGCTGTGCCCGCAACTGCTAACACACCCTCTGTTCTTCAGATGCGATTGTATGTATATTTTGATACCCTCTCCCTTCCCTCTCAAGAGCAAAAACCACGTCCCTTTCTGTCTAGACCGTCGGGATTGGAAATCTAGAGAATGTTCCTGCGTGAAAGCCAGGGTCATACCTCGGATTCCACCTGACCTGCCCGGTGTTTTGCGCGGCAAGTTGCCCCGGACACCTCCAGCATGGCTGATGCTGCAGCTTTCCGTTGACCATTGGTTTGGTCCATGTCACGCCAGAGACAAGGGGCAATTTGAGTGCAACACGAGCGCCACAAGATCCGTCTGCTCCAAATCGCCTAAATTGGCCGTGGCGGGATCTGGTGTGCATATTGCTCAAGGGGTCCCAGCGGGTCGGACCAGTGTAACGCTGGACAAAGTCCTCTGGACAACGAAAGTCTCTCGCTCGCAAAGATTTCCTTGTCGATACCGATGGCAGACCTCTTAGTCTAACGGTACCCTGGCAAAAGCCGGAGAAGAGTTGGCAGATGCATGGAGTGCCCGAAGCTGATGGGACTCCTTGTTCTCTGTGTAGCGACTTCTCTGGATTGACGTGATAGGGCAAGTGCCCAAGAACCAGAAGCTGCTGGACCTGTTTTTATTTTTTATTTTTTTTTTACTTGCAGAGGGGCTGTGCATAGTTTGACTCAAGCTTCCGATTTGCTAACGCTGTGTAGCTCAACGCCCATGCTCACGATGTATAAGTAACGGCAAAGAGGATTCCTGCCACGACGTCGTACATAAAAAGAGAGGCCGTCCCCGATTACGAGACGATCGGGAAGCCCGATATGACCTTTCAAGACCCCCACCTCCACATGATAATGCCTTCCGGAGATCTCTCAACATCTACCCCACCTCTAACACTAGCGGCTCTGGGTATGACAGCGTCATGCAACACCAGCCTGGTAGGGAGCTGCATCCTCATCCTAGCGAGCATCAAGGTCCTCGCCATACGGATAGAGGCTACTACCCCGAGGAGGATGTATACGGGAGACCAATCATCAACTCGAGGCCACAGGAGCCTGTCGCCTATCTGACAATGGACCTTGAGTTTTCTCGAGTGTCAGATACTTTCAACGATGCCATTGGAGGTCTCGGACCTCGTCGAACGTTGGCAGAAACCGTTGCTCTCGGCGAAAGAGAAAAGATCAAGATGCTACAGAACGAGTTATCTACAGAGCAGAAGCGGAGAGAGCCCAACTATTTACCTCCTATCTTAGGTAGAGGCGAGCAAGTGCTTCAGCGCATGGGATTTTCAGTTGAAGACTTCGGTAGATTTCCCCTGAGGTATCCGGAATACTTGACCTTCGTTGCTGTTGACGGCCAAACTCGGGTATTTCCAGTTCAGATTGGCCTTGCAAAAGAAGGGTCGTTCTTCTTCGTCGTGGCTGTTCTTGGGATGGGCAATCGACTGCAATCGGCACCGGCTCATCACCTTGATCGCAACGCATCAATGGCCTACGGACCATTTGGAGGGCAAACCCATCCTCCCTACCCACAACAGCACCGACAAACCCCCGTGGGACACAGCCGTCCTCCTCAGCATTCTCCGCCACTCCGACAGCTCCCAGCTGCCCCTCAGTCGCTTCCTCTCCACAGTCGTGGTATGAGCCACCCTAGCGGGTCTTCCTATTCGCCCTTTTCAAATAGACACGAATATCAAGGAGGCCCCCAACATCACACACCTCGAAGCCAACGTCATCCCGCCCCGCAATCTAACACCCAGACGTATCAGCTGCCTCCTATTCGATCGCCTATGGAGAGACAAGGCCCCCCTCGAGACCAAGACTGGTACCAACGAGAGGAGAGGACCAACCGTGTGGACATCGGTGGCCTCATCGAGAAGCCTGAAGGGCCGGGCCGGATGCACTAGCAGGGCAGCCAGCCGCCTTCGACGCTTCAAATATAATCATGCCGTAATACTAGGTGTTCGCTCTCTTTTCTCGCTCCCGAGCAAAGAAGAGAACCCTTTCGATTCAGCGATCTTGGCTCATGGACCAAGGATGTTTTGATTTTCAACATATAACAATGGAGCGAGTTTTGTCCTTTGTTTGCTTTCTTTATTTTGAAGATACCACTACCTGTAATACTATATATTCCACATCTTCCTATCCATTTTTGTCAGGGCCTGAACTTTCTTTGGTAGACGCAGTTCAAATCAGAGGGCACAGATCTTTTTCTATTGTGGGTCACCGTCGCAATATGGTGTTCACGTTCACGGGGCTGCACTTGGCATCAGCGACAGTCACAGGCGTTTTCTTGCATATGCATCGTAAGAGCAGAGCGGGTTTCTCTCTCGCAGGGAAGGGGCGCAATTGCCTACCGGTTAGAGGTTATGTCGAGATGGATAACGAGCGAGGACCACCGTTTTCTATTGGGGCGACATTTGCTCCCTGGGTTTGGTGAGGATGGATGATAGAAAAAGGACAGTAACGTGCGAGACACTACTCTACTGAAAAACATTGATAGTGAATAATGACTGATATTAATATTGGCCTCTAAATCCCAGCGTGTTTCCAGGCTGGAAAGAAATGGCGATGGAACGAAATGATGTGATGGGCGTTCCCTTTCTCCAGTGCAGTGTACCCTGGTCCTGGTTGGCCAATTAACTAGTCTCTGCATATGCGATGCGATGCATGAGACGATGAAACACGAACCATGCATCTCGCATTGTTACACGGCCCAGATTATCCGGACCCCTCCGCCTGCCGCTCATTGGTCCGGTTGTTTCGAAATAGGGAATTGATGGAAATCTCGCGATCGTGCCGACGCATAAACAGCAGGTGGTGATACAAACAATGGACCAACTGGGAAAGGAGCAGCCAAATATTTCCGAGAGCAAACCGGTGCGGAAACAAGAAACCTCCATTGATTGAATTTATTGATAGCAAGTATACCAAGCCCACGTAAATGTAGGAGTGGGTGTAAGTTGATTTTCGGTAGTAACGCAGAAAAAAAAAAAAAAAAAAAAAAAAAAACATGCTTTAACTTTTTTACCCCCTTGCCCATCTATACAGGGTGATGGATTCCTCCATGATGGGAAGTGAAAGTCCATGCATCAATCCCTTGCCTGTTATCTGATCCGGCGAAAACAAAGGTGTTTATGCCGATTAAGTCCCCCCCTTAAATAACTTATCCTCCCCAGACGAGAATGGTGACCTCCCATTGCCCAGTTGGCTTCGTGCCTCACTTGCCCTCGCCCCCGCCGACGAAAGTATGATCGGCTTTCACTGAGATCGGTTTTTTTTTTCAAGATGGTGGGGGTGGGCGCTCGTGACAGTTTTGTTTGATATCATGCTTTGAAGTGTCGACATCAGAAACTTCAGGACTTCTTGCGGGCCTTGGCGTCCTTGACCGAGGAGCCCTCCACGTCCTTGAGACCGTTTCTTCGGGTCGTGATGGAAACGGTGCCCTTGACAGGGGAGGACTTGCCGGCGCCGTCCCTCTTGGGACGCTTGTTGCTGTTTTGGCCGTCACCGTCGGCGTGGCCGTTGGTGCTGCCGTTGGGGGACTGCCTTGCGAGGTCCTCCAGCGCGTGCTTGAGGTTGACCTTGTCCTGGTTGATGTTGTGGTACGGGACGTCCTGGCCGGGGGAGGCCGTGGAGAGGAACAGCGGGTCGCCGTTGCCGAACGGTGCGAGGTGATCAGCGTGGGCTGGGGGGGTAGGGCTGGAAGGGCGAGACGGGGTGGTGTTTGAGTTGCGGCGGGAGGCTGGCTTGTGGCCCATGATCTCCTGGCTGTAGGTTGAGTATGTCGTCGAGCTTCTGCGGGGGGTGGTTAGAAGGGTTCCAGGAACACCAGGGATTGTATGGTTCAGAGTAATATATGGACGGTTCTGTTGTTGGGGTTTTGGGGAGCCGGAAGGTGTTTGGGATCGAAGAGAGGTGGAGAGGGAAGGGTCAGCTTACGGTTGGACACATCGAGAACTGGTATCGCTTGCTGAGGGACCAGGGCGGTTCTCGCCGACGGAAAATTTGGACATCTTGTTTAGGACTTGTTTTGAGGAGCCCAGTAGATCTGTGGGTATGTATGCGGGATAGATGTATGGAGGAGTGTGTGTTTATAGAAAGATGGAGAGGACTTTGGCGGTAAGAACTCTACTCTGCTGCAGTGAGCATGCGAGTGGCAGTTATATGCCGAGCCCGTGAGAGAGAGAACCCTGGGCCTGCAAAGAGGAGGCGAGCAGTCTAACCGATTGGACCAGGGAACTGGAAACAGGGTGACAATACAATCCGTGAGGCGGACTTGGATGTCGAAGCGAGCAGTTAGGAGGTGCACTTTTACCAGGGAGGGCGGCTTGTTGGTGATGCTGTGGCGGAGGGCAGGCGGGCATACGACAGGTATTTATCTAGTAAACAATCACGAACTGAGCTTTGGACCCAATCCTATAACGTGTGTCCTAGGCGCCCGGGAGAGCAAAGACATGAAACCCGGGCCAAACGTGCATTCGATTCTGATCTGGTCCAGGGGCTGTGCCTGGTCCTGGTATAAGGGGTGGTGTGGGCTGGTACCGACAAAGGGAATCAGCGACAAAAAGGGAAAGTTTTCGGGTGCTGGGGGCCAGGTAGCATATGGTAGTGTACCTGGTTCTGCTTGAATATGCAGGGCTTTCGGATGGCATGGATTCCCTTTTAGCAACTATCGATCCGTCAGCATGGTCGAGGTACGGCCAGATACCTACCTGCTGCTGTTCACGTAACCAAGCTTGTGCTCTCGCCGCGGAATCGAGCCAGAATGCAAACATAGGCGCGCGAGGAGATGGCACTAGTGCAATTGTGTACAGAGTTGGCGATTTATTGGCTGCCAGGCCTCGCGGGCTGGGGAGAGGAAACAAAGGGCCAGGGGGGTAGACATGCCCATCAACCATCCATTCACTCACTTTGTTGGGTCCATCACCGTGCACGATCGCCTCTGCTGTGGCCGGGCGGCCGCCAGGCTGCGCTCTCCAGCCAGCTTCATGCTTGACGCATGAAATAGAGAAGTGACAGGAGGAGCCGGGGCTTGCCACAGATCAGGAGATGGCGTCGGTGGCATCATCAGCGGCATCCATCATCATCAGCATCAGCATCATCATCATCATGTGCTATGTAGTTAGTGCTGAAGTCGGGACAGCTGAGGACAGTGCAGGAGCGGCCCCCAAGAGTGCTGTGCTAGCGCCAGCGACAGGGCCATCGGCGCCGCAACGGTTCTTGATCGGTGGCGGCTTTTCCCCCAGATCCCCCCAAAGTTTAGGGCCTGCTCCCGCTGACGCCCCAACGGGCTGCCTGTAATAGTGGCTCAACCGACCCCGGGCATCTTTCTTTTCTTTTTTTTTTTTGCTTGCCTCCTTGCCGCTGCTCTCTCCATCTCCGTGTTGATTCCGTCTGTCCAAGGAACTCTGGCCCATTGAGACGGGGAGTTAGCCTTCTGAGGCTAAGTAAGCTGAGGTGGCTCGTCCGGTGTGGCTGTGGCAAGTGCCTTGACCTACCATCGACGTCGAGGCCATCATCAGCCCTAGAGACAACAGCACCAAGCCACAGCACAGCGTCGAGTCACGACCGGGGTGTCGGGGTTCGGGGGTGACGATCAAGGAATTGGGGTTGTCGGTTTAGGGTGGGAAAAAGAAAGTTCAGATCCGGGTCCAGGTCCTGTCCCGTCAGGCCTCAGCGCATTGACGACAACCGCAATCGTGCCCTCCTTTTTGGGGACCCAACCAAGGCTGAGGGATGAGAGACCCATAATCGAGAAACTGGGTGGCATAGCGACACGTCCTATTTGTCGCAATTCCACGTAGTGCTGGGACAGAGCAGCCCCGGCGATTCAGCCTCGAGGGGCACCCAACAACAGCTGCTGCTCTCCCCCCCTTACGTTCGCTCACCTTCTCTCATGTCCAGAGGCGGTACTTCTCTCTACCCATGGTATGACATATGTCGATCACGCGTTTAATTGACCATCAGCATGGTTGATGAAAGGGGCTCGCTCCCGGAGCTGACTGCAGCCCATGGCCTGGGTCCAAATATGACCAGTCTCCAACACAATGGATCCATGATATTGACTACGACGGGCTACACGTAGTTCCCGGGGGGCTAATCGTTACCCTGTCTGCACTAGCTGGCAACGGGTTTATCCACCTCTGTAGCATTGAGCTCCGAACTGCAACTACCAACGAGCTGACTCGAACGAAACGGACTGGCGGGACGTGTAATTCACCCTAGTGCGGGAGGGAACAGGAACGCTGGATAGCACGAGCTTTGGGATGCCCATCTCCCATCCATCCAAGTGCCAGGGCAGTAAGCTTTGCTTGGGCCAACCAGTGGTCCCTTCGCTGTGTTGCGTACTATCTTCCTTGGTACCTAGATTGGGGCCCCGTAGGTGCCATTCGCTCGTCACACTCCCCCTGCAGTCCCTAAAAAAATTGTGACCCGAGCCAGCTGAGACGAGGGAGCTGAAAGTAAGGCTGCTGATCTCTCCCTCGCTTCACACAACCTCGATGGATGCCAAGCATCGTCATCGCCTAGGACTGCACCGCGAGCACGCACGCACATTGTGCGGGATCAGGACGCACGGCTACGCTACCCCGTCCTCATCTTCCAGAGTCCTGGATAGCGCAAGGACTGCATGACTTAGTTTGGCCCGGCCTGTGCCGCAGAATGGACCCCCACCAACCTCTACCTACGACGAAGCGAGGCGGGGCTGCTGTTGGCTGAAGAAGCAAGGATGTTTGATCAATCGGCGCGGCCACAGTCGAGATCGAATCATGAGTCAATGGTTGTTATTCGGAAAGCCAATTGATCTGATCACAGCCTTCGCTTGGGTTGAACAACGCCCATTCTCACAAGCTCTGTCTAGTCCAATTCATTAATCCTCTTGGATCCTCAATGTTCGCCGCAACACAATTAACGGCCGCATGTTCCTGGGCTGGGATGTTGTGGCACAATTGGCCGCCCTTGTTACTGGCATCGGATGTTTGAAGCTGGTCTTCTTTACCGGGCCTGGTCGCCAACTTATATGGGTACACTCAAGTCAAATCTGCCTCCTTTCTGTCGTTCCCTTTTTCCTATCAAAGGGACAGTGCGAGCACCTATAAGTCCGGTGGCCTGCTCAACGGATGTCACCCCCGCGAAAATTGCTCGTAAACCCGAAGTCTATTTCCCCGGTTGATAGGCTTTGGGTGGGGGATTTATGCTATCTCTCGAAGATGTTTCTCCAGCTTCAGTCACCCAGGCTTTTGGTTCGCCAATCTTGTTGGAAATATATCGGGACAGGTGAGGGGAAGATAAGGAGGAGTTACCTCATGGCGGGTCTGGGATCCGCAAACACTGGTGACGATGCTTGGTCACTGTTGCACCCAGACCGAGTCCGGCAACTTTTTCAGCCAACGGCGAAGCCGGCCATTACCAAAGACCCGGGTAGTGACTCTCCCCTTGGCAGCATCACTGTATGCGGCGCGCGGTTATGTTATCTGTATGCCATGACGGCGGGTCTTTCTCATCGGCAAAGCTTGCTCACCGACAACGTGCGCACTTCCAAGAAAGATGGGGATGAAGCTCTGCATTGTCATCGCAGCCATGCCAGTTCCCCGATCATGCATGGCCTCTGGTGGATACTTGCCAGTATTATCGTCGGGTCGACCTTCGACTTTGGGCCATAGCCTCGGATAGATAGTACTTCTTGATCTGTCCTTCAAGATAAGTGCACATCGTGAATCGAGGAGGGAGCAGTTATCTTCGGCCCGGTGACCTGGAATTGCATTCCTATCTTCGGAATTCTTTCATGAAAACGGGCCTGCCCTCAATGATTAGGGAATGGGAACGCGTAATGGAAATGTCCTTCCCAAGATTGAGGGATCCTTTTATCTCGAGGCGGGGGGCTCTTGTCCGAGGTATGGGGGTTCCAGAAACCAGGAACCTCAATGATCATGGACTCGCCGTATGTCGACCCATTATCAAAAGGTATAAAGATGATGAGAACATCTCCGTTCTGGGAAGTAGGACAACAGCATGGCATTCGAAGCACATTCTAGTAACTTCAATCTCAAACCTTCTTGATCCACAGAAAACATGAAGTTCTGGGCCAGCTACCTCACATCAGCTCTTCTTGCCCCAGTCGTTGTTGCTGTACCCAAGGCTCCCTGGGTCTTGGATCGAGCTCGTGGCCATGGCCGAAGAGCTCTTGGGGCAAGTATAGAGAAACGGGCGCATTTTCCCCGAGAAGCTTGTGATGTCAAGAGTGCTCTTGATATCGAAGCTCCCAAGGAGAACCTCTGGGCCGAACTCTCCGAGCCAGAAGCTGTTAGTGTTGTGGAATGGCTTTTCACGCAGCCAGATCTGAACCTCACAACTGCTGAAGACGCCGGGAGCTGGGATAATACTCTGTGAGTTGTTTCATTTCCAAACAAAAATGCAGTACAAAACCTAACTAAGCTTTCTTAAGACTCTTAGTTGAATTGATGCATCCGAATAAAACGGATGCTTTGGCCTATTTAGATGGAACTGCTGCTGCCCCTACGCGCTATGTCCATGCTGTGATCAGCCACCAAGCTAGCGAGGATCCCTATTACCAGGACATTCTCGTTGGTCCTCTACCAATTGTCAACGGAACCACACACTGGGAACCGTTGGAGTACCCATTTACCCGGAAGTCACAGGGTCGTGTTCGGAACCTTGACGCTGATGCCGAAACGCTCTTTGATGAATGGGTCCACAACGTCAGCGCTACAATCTCCGACATCACTCTTGATATGTGGAATGCTACTGCTCTTGGTCTGGATAATGATACCTTGTCCATATGGGGCATTGATCCTGTCTACCAGGATGACGATCGTATTCTACGTTGGGATGCTTTCTGGAGCATTCCGAGGGGTGTCTTCGATACTGGCTCCATAATGCCTATGGGCTTGTACTTCATGTCAGACGTGACGGGCCGGGATGCCTCGAAGTGGTCCGTTGAAGGTTGGTATCACAACGGTGTATTCTATGAGACCACACAGGAGTTTCGAGCTGC